CCAGCCCAGAGAAGGGTGGCACAATGGCTTTGCATTCTCTCCACCCTTCCCAGCCCCCTTTGTAGTCTGACCCTACGTCTCTAGAAGTATGCAATCACCACAACATTAGTCCACAGACATTGAGAACTTCATTTAAAACCATTAGGTTTGCTCTGCAATGAGAATGAGTTGGGCATTTATACAGCACCTTTTTTCTAGGAGGATCCTAAAACACTGTGAAAGCTCAGCAAACTAATCTGGGGCCAAATCCAGCAGTTTTTTTACATGGGCAAAATTCCTTGAGAGTTCAGTGGGATTTTTGTCCCAGAACAAAATGAGCACGGATGGAGGAAGATTTCGCTCTTGCATATTCTATCCTACTACAGGAATACCTTCCCTTGGCCACTCTCATGTAGCCACCTATAGGGTGGAACCAGCAACCATTGAAGAGTGCATGGCAAGGCTAGACAATATCGTAGGCTTTGAATGTGAAGAACTGAACATGCATTTAAAATTACAAGAGCTGGGAAGAATGTAATTTAGCAAACAGTAGAAATATTAACCCAGGACTAATGCCCTGTACTTGTGTGAAAAATGCCATAGGATCATTAATTATCACAAGAGGCCATGATTTTATGTCTGCTTTGAGTAATAAAAACTATACAGTGTGGGTCAGATCCTCAGCTGGTGTAATTCAGTGGAGTTCTGGTCACTTCAATAGGTCTGCATTAGTTTACATCAGCTGAGGATCATGCTGTGCGTGTAAAGTACCGGTACTTATTTTGCTCTCTGAGTCAGCCACCTGCACCTTCAAAATATGCATAGACTGAACTTGTCCAAAGGTCAGAGTATAGTGAGGGGTTGGAAGTGGTGTTCTGGATTGGGTTTATCTTTGACCAACAGATCTTAGTGAAATTGAGATCTCCTTTTTAGCTGATTGTATTTAGCCATCAGTTCCAAACACACTAATTTGAATTTAATTTGATGACTGGTTAGTATGTTCATTTTCCTTCAGTCAGTTATCATCTTGGGCATCAAATCATTTGTATTCCACTTGTGCTGCTTATATTGATAATCTCCAGTTGTTGTAACTGACTGTTAGGGTTAGGAAATAATGGAGAAACACCCATTATTATCCACAACTCTCTGACACCACATTCTACAGGCCATTACCCTCTGACCCCACTGAGAATTACCCAAAGAAACTACACCATCTGCTCAAGAAACTCCCAAAAGAAGCACAGGAACTGACACACTGACACACCCCTAGAGCCCCGACCAGGGGTATTCTATCTGCTACCCAAAATCCATAAACCTGGGAATCCTGCATGCCCTATCATCTCAGGCATTGGCAACCTGACAGCAGGATTATCTGGGTATGTAGACTCTCTCCTCAGGCTCTACGCTACCAGCACTCTCAGCTATCTTCGAGACACCACTGACTTCCTGAGGAAACTTTAATCCTTTGGTGATCTTCCAGAAAACATCATCCTAGCCACTATGGATGTAGAAGCTTTCTATATGAACATTCCACACAAAAATGGACTACAAGCCATCAGGAATAGCATCCCCGATACCATCGTGGCAAACCTGGTGGCTGAACTTTGTGACTTTGTCCTCACCTACAACTATTTCAGATTTGGAGACAATTTATACCTTCAAGTCAGTGGGACTGCTATGGGTACCCACATGGCCCCGCAGTATGCTAACATTTTTATGGCTGACTTAGAACAACGCTTCCTCAACTCTCATGCCTTACGTCCCTACTCTACTTGCACTACATTGATGATATCTTCATCATCTGGATGCATGGGAAGGAGGCCCTTGAGGAATTCCACCAAGATTTCAACAATTTCCATCCCACCATCAACCTCAGCCTGGACCAGTCCACACAAGAGATCCACTTCCTAGACACTACAGTGCTAATAAGCGATGGTCACATAAACACCAACCTATACCAGAAACCTACTGACTGCTATACTTACCTACATGCCTCCAGCTTTCATCCAGACCACATCACAGGATCTATTGTCTACAGCCAAGCTCTAAGATACAACCGCATTAGCTCCGATCCCTCAGACAGAGACAAACACCTACAGGATCTCTATCAAGCGTTCTTAAAACTACAGTACCCACCTGGTGAAGTGAAGAAACAGATTGACAGAGCCAGAAGAGTACCCAGAAGTCACCTACTACAAGACAGGCCCAGCAAAGAAAGTAACAGAACGCCACCAGCCGTCATCTAAAGCCCCCAACTAAAACCTCTCCAGCGCATCATCAAGGATCTACAACCTATTCTGAAGGATGATCCCTCACTCTCACAGACCCAGTCCTCGCATACAGACAGCCCCCCAACCTGAAGCAAATATTCACCAGCAACTACACACCACACAACAAAAACACCAACCCAGGAACCAAATCCTGCAACAAACCCCGGTGCCAACTCTATCCACATATCTATTCAAGGGACACCATCATAGGACCTAGCCACATCAGCCACACCATCAGGGGCTCATTCACCTGCACATCTACAAATGTGATATATGCCATCGTGTGCCAGCAATGCCCCACTGCCATGAACATTGGCCAAACCGGACAGTCTCTATGCAAAAGAACAAATGGACACAAATCTGACATCAGGAATCATAACATTCAAAAACCAGTTGGAGAACACTTCAATCTCCCTGGTCACTCAATAACAGACCTAAAAGTGGCAATTCTTCAACAAAAAAAACTTCAAAAACAGACTCCAACGTGAAATTGCAGAATTGGAATTAATTTGCAAACTGGACACCATCAGATTAGGCCTGAATAGAGACTGGGAGTGGTTAGGTCATTACAAAACCTAAACCTAATTTCCCCCATACTAATTTCCCCCTGCTGTTACTCACACCTTCTTGTCAACTGTCTGAAATGGGCCACTCTTATTACCACTTCAAAAGTTATTTTTCCTCCCTCCATGCATCTGATGAAGTGGATTCTAGCCCACGGAAGCTTATGCCCAAATAAATTTTTAGTCTCTAAAGTGCCACAAAGACTCCTCGTTGTTTATCCATGAAGTAGTGAAACTTATTCATAAGACATTAAAAATAAACCTGTCTTGCACTTGTTTCATCAAACAGCAAACAATCACAATAGATAAATGAAGCAAAAAGCTGTCTTTGAGAGAGCGAGAGCAGGAGCAACTGTTCTGCATGCTACTCCAGAAGAGAATCCCTGGGGAAACCTGGTAATCTGTAGTACAGGGTAGCACAGTTCACTGTTTGTATGTCTCTCCAAGGAATAGAGGCATGCTTGTTTACAAACAGATCTCTAGCTACTATACCTTGCAGTGTTTGCCATGCAATTAAGAACAATTTATATTCCTAGTAGCAGAGATACTCTGGCTTTTGATCACAGATTTGGGGCCAAATTCTTTGCTCAGTTACAACTCTGCAGTCCCTCTTAAATCAATGGACATGCACAGTTGTGTTTGAATGCAGAATCTGGCCCTTCATCTTTTTTTTCATCTCTATGGCTACCTGCACCAGTCCTCACCTGGCAAGTTTAAGCAAGAAAAGGCTATGGCCAAGTTTTCAAACCTGGGTGCCTATAGCAGTCATCCTATTTGCAAAGGTTTGGAGCACCTTGGATCCAGAGTTACTCAGCACCTGCCAAATTCAGTCCATTTCTATTTAGGTGGATGTTGAGATTCTAATTTTAGGCACTCTGATTTCAAATTTTTGGCCTGAGATTTTTGTGAGTCTTCACAAATTTGGTCAAGGATAAAATGTTTCCAGTAAAAAGATCCCCTCTCCCACTCCCCTTCCCAAAGCTTGCAATATTCCACCCTGGAACAAATCACAAATTTTCACACATTTGTTCTGAGTAAAATATATAAATTTCCCCCCCAACAGAAACCTTTTCATCTCAGAAACTATTTTTGAGGAGTGGGGGAAGGAGATTCAAAACCAGAGGGAAAAAAATAATCCTGCATTTTTTTTTCTCACTGTATAACATAACTACCTAAAATAATATTTTTTTCTGTTAGGTGGGTTTCTAAATGGGGTGTTTTTTTTAAAAAAAACAACAACCTTGGCTCATGCCACCAACTCGTGGCTGCAGAAGCAGAAAGGAGACATTGAATGGTTGGTTAAAGACCACAAACATGCCATTTATCATGTTCCCTTGACAGAAGCTCTGATGCTTGCACTCAGGTACATCAATGTCAGTTTTCTGTCATCGGTAAACCCTTAGAGTGGTCAGTTTAGATGAGCTATTACCAGCAGGAGAGTGAGTTTGTGTGTGTATGGGGGTGGGGGGGATGTGAGAAAACCTGGATTTATGCAGGAAATAGCCCGACTTGATTATGTAAAGAGTTGTCACTTTGGATGGGCTAGCACCAGCAGGAGAGTGAATTTGTGTGGGGGGGTAGAGGGTGAGAAAACCTGGATTTGTGCTGGAAATGGCCCACCTGATGATCACTTTAGATAAGCTATTACCAGCAGGACAGTGGGGTGGGAGGAGGTATTGTTTCATATTCTCTGTGTGTATATAAAGTCTGCTGCAGTTTCCACGGTATACATCTGATGAAGTGAGCTGTAGCTCACGAAAGCTCATGCTCAAATAAATTGGTTAGTCTCTAAGGTGCTACAAGTACTCCTTTTCTTCCTAAACAGCAGCAGTCCATAGTTCAATAAATTCTACGCGTGGGTACAAAAAGTTTAGGCCAGGGGGAATTTTGATTCTGTGCATCATGGTGTGAGAAGGAATCAGATTCCAATTATTGTCCTGGCAAAAGGCCCTTCTCCAGTTACATTAGGGAAAAGTGATGTAACACCCATTTTTTGGGGGGAGGGGGGAGAGAAGGTGTTACTTAAAAAACTGGGGAGCTTTATTGGAGACCCAACACCTGCTTTGTGCCTGACCCCCCTTTAGACAGGCACACAAAGCACTGCTCCATTATTTGGTCTGCTTCCACTCTCAAAGCACATTTCAATTTTTCATTTGATTACACGTGGAAAAAAAAAAAGTGAACTGACCCCAAATCATACGGTTGAGAAACTCTCCAATGTTGTAGATCCAGACAATGAGGACAAGGTTACTGCAGAAAAAGGCCGCTAGACCCACTGGGCTGAAAAAGGTGAAGAGAGGATATACCCACTTTCCAGTTACAGAGTAAATCCACAGGACCCTAGACAAGGAGAGAAATGATTTTTGGTTAGGACCATTCAGTTAGAAGAAGAATTTAAAGATTTTCCATCCAGGAAGGAATATGTTATCACAACTATCATGGTAAAGAATAAAACAGATCAACTAACAGTAAACTACTGATATGCAGCATCTCCACTGGGCAGTTAGAAAGCTGGACTCTTTTCTGTGAAGTACACATGTCATTTAACACGGATTAGAACACATGCAATGTTCTACCAGGACCAGCTTGGTACTATCATGACCCAACTTCCGTGAGTATAATGGTATTTAAATAACTGAAGTAAGTCTTCTCAGTTGAGAAATAGGGATATTTAACTATAATGTCCTTAACTATATTGTATAACAGCAAATGAGCTTTTCGACACATCTTTTTCCAACTGGTTGCCCTGGCTTTTCAGATCAGAGACACCTGGGGAGAGGAAAATGCTATTGCTCATCTTTCTGTCCCTTCAGCAGTGACCAGTCCATCGGGGAGCAGCTGGAGGAGGCAAAGATTCCCCAGCACCTCTTCCCTTTGTCCCATAGAGAAGGGGAAGGAAGAGCAACTGTAGGTAGGTAGCAGAGAATGTGGTGGCATTGTCCACCCTTTCCCCTTTCTGGGCTGTTTATAGGGCTTCATATCCTTCATTCTGTCCTGCTTCCTCTCCCCTCAAACCCAATCTACAGCTTGCTGTGGCTACCAGTTAACGTGAGTTATTTGCATACTGTGACTCTTATCGGTCAAAAGAGCCTTAAAAGATAATTTTTTGATTGATAAATTTTTTTTATAATACGACACATCTGTGGATAAGTGTAATTCAAATGGCACCTCACTGATCCGAATTGGATTACAATCTCAAAGGTAGTTCCCTGAAAAGACAGGTAACATAAAATTAGGAGATTTGTATTATATTAGGCCAGAAGGATGGGCTGAGGCTACATTGAGCTCCTTTGCGGTAGTGGGGGCATCACCCTTGTAATACAATCTGACAATGGAAGAAACCCGTGCATTTGGATCACAAAGTCCTGAGTTCTATTCCCCAAGGGCTTGTCTATGTGGTAGGGTAACATGCCCTATGGGGGTGTGGTTTCTAAAGCAGACTACCATGTAGCATGTGAATTGGTCCATGTAAACCCTGCTGGTGTGCACAAAAGGTTCTCTAGTGCCCTTTAATTTAGTGCTGTTTCAAACAGTTAAACAAGCCCCAGGTCCAGCAAGATTTAACTGGCAAGCATGTTGTTCATTTTTTGTGGCCATGGATCTATTATAATTTTATTGGGAAGCTGAGCCATGTCTGTTGTCTCCGTAAAGCTGCCCCTTAGACTTTTCCCAGCACTGCCAATAGGGAGATATTCTGGTGATTTTTTCCCCACTGCCAGTATTTTCATGGGAGAGTGTGTCACTCTGTGAGAAAACACTAGCCTGCCACTTGGCTTTGTGAGTCATGCCTCAGGATATGTGTGTCACATAGATACCCCACCAGAATTAAGATATGTCACAAATCTGAGAAACAGGTAAATGCTAGAGAAAACAGTAGAAGTGTCCTTAAAGCAGGAAAACAGCTCAGCAGTAGTTAGAGAAGGCACTCGTAGGATATAAAAGAAGAGGTGTGTGAAGAAAGATTTGTTAGCGCTCAGTAAGAAGGTTGATGGAAGAAACTGGTTTTGCTGGTAATAGAATTTTATTGGGCTGAGCTTGGAAACATTAAGAGTAGAAACTAGTTTTATAGATCCATCATAGGTCCTCTGATCAGAGGAAACAACTGGGGTGTGAAACGACTGAGGAAATAAAAAAGCCGAAAAAAAGGCCTCAATAGTGATAACAGGAAATATTATCTACAAGACACTAATTGGAGCCTCAGTGGGGAAAATGATGGAGTTGGCTTTTTTAGTATTATGTAGAGTCTATATGTATTTTTTTAATATGATACCCATGTCTCAGCCAATTACAGAGCCAATGATCCTAGTCTTAGGTAGTAGGAGATTAGATTGTGTGGATCAAATTTTTCAAACTTGGGTGCCTTAGGACAGGCACCTAAATCGATTTTTTTATTAACTTAAATAAGTGGCCTGATTTTCAGAGACGCCAAGCACCATCATCTCTCACTTGAGTTGATGGAAGTTGTGAGTAATCTGGCAGGCTGTTCTGGTGCATAAATACGTATTTGGTTGCCTGTCTTTAGGTACCTAAGTTTGAAAATTTTGGCTACAGTGAGCAGAAACAATGGACGGAATGGACCAAATTTTTAGCAAACATCTAAAAATGCATTATCAGACTTTGCACCCGTTGTACAATTGCACATTTTGCATATGTGATTATTGGTTCAACTCCCAAACTATATTCAGATGTCTATTATTTTGAAAAATTAGGTATCAATTTAGAAATGGAATAAAAAGTAGTTTTGTGATAAGAAATAGAATAGAGTATCAAGTGACAACGAATAGTTCAGGGTAATCTTGAAGTAATGTTTGCACTTCTGAGCAATTATAGGAAGGGTACAACTTAGCTGATGGCACAGGGGTAGCAAGTATACCAAAACGCTATAGTATTTGGGGACAGCATGTATAAATCAGTAAGACTTGATGTACCATAATAACCTAAAAGGAAGAAGACTTAGGGTTTCTCCTGTCCTCTCGTTACATGTTCCTGATTTCCACTAATCTTAATGGGAGCTACACTCTCACTGAAGGAAGAAAAGTAGTCCCTGAGGTGATATTCAAAGAGATATGTAAAATCAGGACAGGCAAAGAACGTATTGATGCAAATTAGGTATTTGAGATAGCATTATTTCAAAATGAGAAGGTCATGAACTGAAGCTGAGCACAGGTATCTAGCACATAATATAATTGAAATGTTTTAATTCATTATCAAGATGGAGTGGACACATTACTGGAAAGCGATGGAGTAGAGACCCTCCATTTATGTACTTATTTTATTTAGTTACGGCTTAAGATGCAGTACGCACTATATGATTATTTATATTTCCTGAGCTTAGAAAGGGGGTATGATCTCCTTCTCTTTATGGCCCAAAGTACATTTCTGATGACTGGCGCCTAAATTACTATCCTCTTTGCTGTTACATTGATTTTACAATTGAAATGGAAAAGGGCAGGCTGTTTTTAAGGTCTAAAATTGTATAACCCAAGAGTTCAGAGATACAAGCTTTGGTATTCTAAGACAGGGAAGAAGATTACAGGCCAGGTTTTTGATACTTTTAATTGATTTCAGGAGGATTACTTGTAGAGTAACGTCCTACTCAGCATGAGAAGGAGTATCAAAATCTGTCATTACAGGAATTCACTAACACGTCTGCCAGGTTTCTCACCACACCTGGCAGCCTCCCATGGTTGGAAACCACCCCCGACTTTTGAGTACAGCAAAAATAAATTTCTGTAATGAAACCCCACGTGGAAGCAGGACCTTGAAGAAAGGCGCATGCATGGGAAGCCATTCTGGCTTCTCTGCTTGACTCTTCCCTTGCTTTCCTGGCGAATCCAGCAGCTGACATGGCAAATGGGCCACCTGAATCCATAGATATGGAAGAAAGGGGAGTAGTAAAGATGCTTCTTATGGAGGATAAGGCCACATGATTGGACTATTGACGATTCTGCAACATCAGTGAAGGCAGCAACAGCAAAGTGTTGGCACCTATAGGCTGGATGCAGAGATTTAAAATGTAAAGCAATGTTTTAGTATAAAGACTTTGGGGCTGAATGCTCAAAAGGAATTAGGCTCCTAACTTCTGTTTAGACCCCTAATTTCTATTGATTTCAATGGAAATTAGGAACCTAACTCCAGCTGATCATTCAGCTCATTTTGTTGCTGGGAACCTCAATGGAAATTAGGAACCTAACTCCAGCTGATCATTCAGCTCATTTTGTTGCTGGGAACCAAGGTGAGTAAAATGAAAGGTTCTGTGCTGTCTCCAGGAGACAGAAAGCACCAGCATGGAGATTGGCATGAATGTGCATGCAACAGTAGGAAACTGGAATACAAAGGGCAGGACTCTACAGAAGATGACACAAGGGACAAGTAACAGATAGCTATCTGCTTGGGGGCCCAATAGCCAGGATATGGAGTACTGTGATCTGTGCTTAATTTGTGCCAGGACTTGCCAGGGCTGAGCCCCGGCACCTCTAGGCTTGGGGGTTCATAGCCTCAGCACCTGGGGGCTTGCTGCATCAGTTAGGAAAGTAAAAAAAAAAATTGCTTGAGCCCTGGCACCTCTTTCATTACAAATGAAGCGCTGACTGTGATATACTAGAAGCTGAAGACAACAGCAACTCAAAGGAAACTTTGGGAGAAACCACTAGTGCAGGATGTGACTAGAACTCGGCTTGACCATGGTTGGCCTGGTTGTGATTGCTGATTATCTAGGATACTGATTCTTCATCCAGTGGGCGCTCCCAGAGTGGAAAAGCATTCTCCTTCTTTTCAGTGTGCAACATCTGAGACCGTGACCTCCGCTCACTGGAACATACATGGGTTTAGGCCCATGTTCTCACATCAGACAATACTTGCTGTGTGGTTTGGCAAGTTGATATTGTTGCAATCAAGGCATACCCCCACCAAGAAGTCTGGATAGTACTGGCTTAAAACAATTGGGTTTGCGTGATAGATCTCCGTCCTGCCTCTAGCTGAAACCTGGCAGGTCCATGTCAGATCCTTGTGTTACAAAACAAGAAGGTGATTTCTTCTCTGGTTTATTTAGGTCATTGTGGTAAGGGTGGCTGCTGTTGAGGTGAAGTTGTGTGGGGCAGAGGGCTCTGTGGGAAATGAAAATGCTAAAAGCATGCATCTCATGGCGTTATTCCTGTCCCATGGAGGTGGGGCAAGTTCCCAGAAGCATAGTTTGATCATGAAGACAGTAAAAGTCACAGAGCCTCAGAAGAGAACAAAATGTGGCTCAACGCTAAGTAATGCAGCAAAATGGTACATAGGAAAGGAATTTGGGACACAACGATCCTAATTTCATTAAGGTTAAGATTAGATTAGGATAAACCATTCCTAACACATGGTCATATAATGTAGTAGCAAAGTCCAATATTTCCAAGCCACTATAGAAGGATCTCAAATCATAAGTGCATTTTGTCTGTACAGTTTATGTTATATTCTGGGTTTTCTTTTAGTGGGATTGAGGCAAATAATGTAATGACAAAGGCAAATTCATTCAGACTAATGTGTTCACCGCCATAGGTAAGAACTTGTAGAAACAAAGAATTCCCCAGTTCTTCCTCCTTTTCCAAAAGATGCCACACCTGCATGAGAAGCAAGCTTATTCTCTTTTTCCGGAGTAGGTCATTTAGAGAAAATCCCAGGGGGTTATAATACATAATTCTTACCAGCTGAGATAGGCAACAGAAACAAATCCTAATAGGATCAGTCCTTTCTTCTTTGGTGGATAACAGTGCGGGGTAGCGAAGATCTCCAGCAGAGCAAGTGGCAACACAATAGTGTGCTGGGAAGAAAAGGGGATATGTCAGAGAGTGGCAATAGTGTGTTGTGGTAACCAAATTAACCAAAACGCTTGTGGCAATGTGTACATACATGCAAACAAATTATTGGTTAACAGTATAGAATGCCACAGAAAAGCATGCCACTTTACCAGTGAGTAAATCCCCATGGTACAGCAAGCATTGAAAATTTCTTGTTACACAGAAAAAAGTATGATGATGAGGTGCTACTATAGAACACCGTACTGCTGTGCATTGTAATCGCTAATGGATAGTGCAGGGATTTACTGCATTATCAGATGTACAAGGAAAGTTGGAGTGATCTCCATGTATACAGTAGTACAAAGATCTTGTGGAATCTATCACTGTTTATTCTGAGATGGAAAGGAAAACCCTCTTGGCATTTTCTGAAAGACTTTCCATGCATAATTTAAGCCGAAAGGTGATTTGTTTTTTCCTTTAGGTAAATTTGGTGAAAATATCTCTAGCCATTTCTGAGTCATTGGAGAGTGGGAAAAAATGCTTTAAACTCACCTTTAAATAAAAACCAATTTGGGGGAAATGTTATGTGCTGAAAGGTGAAGAATTGTTAGGATTAGAAAGCTACAAAGAGACAGAAATGTTAAGAATAGAAATAAAGAATCAATTTCCAATACTGCAAACAGTGTCCCAAAGTTCCATTCCCAGACTGGTGATGGTTAAATATATTTATCAATGATCTGGAAAATGGTGTGGCTGTTGAGGTGACAACATTTGCAGAGTACACAAAATGTAGTTAGGTTAATAATGATTAGAAAAGACTGAGGACTTTCACAGAGACCTAACAAAGCTAGGTGAATGGGAAGCATGAAGACAGGTGAAATTCAGCATTGACAAATGCAAATTCATGCAAATTGGAAGGGATCTTTGAACTACGTGTGCACCTTGCTGTGTTTGTTCTAAGGCCCTTTCAGATCATAAATACCCCTCCCCCCATCCCCCGATCTACCTGTGGATCTCCATTTGTCTGTACAGAAAGGGAGTTTGTGCATCTGAGTGGCACCGTCTCCACAACCAGGCCCTGTGTGTAGTGTGGAGTTGGGGCAGACTGGGGAAGGAGTGGTCGGGCTGAGGGCAGAGTTTTGGAGGAGACATATCTTAGTCCATCCAGCCCCACAGAAATTAACCAGAGAAGCTGATCCAACCCCAGACTGTATTAACTGTTTTGTGAGTCGCCATGGGGAGCTGCTGGAAGCAGATTGCAAAGCCTTCGTAGCATGCTCAGGGGAGTTGGGGGGGTGCAGTGGGCTAGCATTGCTGCTGGGGTACAGGGTCCACTTGGATATCACTGGCCTCTCACAAAGGGTCTTGAGGTCCTCCAGGTTTCGAGGTATTTTTTTCCCTTCCCCTCATACAGGGTCAACTTGGGTCAGCCTCAGGGAGGAATTTCTTGTGGGGATTTCCACATAGAAAGTCCACTTCTCTGGTTTTCAACATGAAAGACGATGCTCCGGCTCTAAATTAACTGTAACTACTCAGGAAGAAGCCCTGAGTGTTACTGTCAACAGCTCAGTGAAAACAGTTGTTCAATGCACAGCAGCAGGCAACCACAGCAAGGCCTGCTCAGTTGGGCTCCTAGTAACTAAGGCAATTGGTTTTACAGATAGAATGTGGGAAAAAACTGCAGCAGCAAACATAATACATGATTTTTTCTGTGTCATATAATATGTTGCCTTTAAGGTCAGACCAAAGTCAATTGAAGTCACGGGGAATCTTTCCATTCACATCAGTGGATTTTGGATCAGGCTCATGCAGAGGACATGATGGCGTGGTATGAGATGTAAGTTTTATTGGCAGATGTTTGGGAGAGAGAGTTACTTTCTACCTCTAAAAGAGTGTGACACATTATGGCTGCATGCTGCAAGAGAGCACTTAGTAGATTCCTCTCACACATCCCTAGCATGGGAGGCCTCAGAAGCCGTTATTCAGCCCCATGTGGCTTGTTGCCAAATATCCTTCAGTTTCAGTTGTTGTATTCTACAAGCTAGATAACAAAGGTTTATTTGATTGTTCTAGTTCATCTCCCTGCCAGTGCTGTTGAGACTTCTCTCTGTTTTATTTCATACCCTAGACTAGAGTCCTACAACCCCCCTCAGTCAATAGCAGAGGTCCAGCTGTATAAGTTCAAGTGATTCTTGGATACATTTAAGTAGAAAAAGGTCTTCAGTTTGTACAAATTAATTTCTTCACAGTCCCTATAATTATGTCTTTTACTCAGAAATGTGTCCCAATTTTTCACATAACACCCAGTGTCCCAGGCAATTCCTTTGGGGGCACTCAATGACCTAGCTTTCCATTTCATCAGTGGAAACATTTGTTTTTTCAATAACAACAAATTATTTGTTCAAGCCATATTGCTGTACTGAGGAAAATGTATTCTGTGTTTATTAGGCCCAGCCATTCAGTGGGAAGAGCAGTGTTTTGAAGTCAAGAGAAAATCAAATGAATTTACAGCAGATACTTATCAAAGCTGAGTTTGTTTGTTTGGTGTTGTTTTGCTCAGAATGAAAGTTAACAGTTGTTGAGTGGCTCACGATAAACTCAAGCAGAGCCCCAAGTTACTGAGGGGGGAAAAAATCCTTCACTCGGAAAATCATGTTGAGTCAGAAGCTGGCAGCAGTGACGCCAGCACATGTTTTATTAAAAAGTATACTCTGTGTTCTGTGTGAATAGTTCATGATCCTAACAACACTTTGCCACAAAAGACTTCCAGTTTTTTTTAATTTTGAAAGCAAGATTGCCTTAATCATAGGCAGATAAAGAGAGATCCTTGTGTATGTTATAGGAATGCTCTCTAGTGAAACTTGTTCGTGTACAAATGGCTTCTTCTTTTATATTGGCTTCTCACTCTGGGTGAGTGTATGTGTGTATGTAATTTTAATTTTCTAGTCTTTCTCATTCCTGAACTTGAATACACACTGCACATGTCCTTGCCATACTGAACACGTGCACATCCCTGTGATACACATGAAATGCAACAAAATAATTCTAAGTGAAAAAGCTAGAGAGAGAGACAGAGCCTTTCATCGCCATGCTAGTATCATAAAGCATGTTGGTGTGTTCACCCATTTTATGAACTCTATCTACAGTTTGTTTTCTCCTTTAGTAGCAATTTACAGTGGAATTCATATGGAATAATGGAGTACATTCACAAGAGTAAATGGGTTCAGTGTATTTATGTTTATACAGCAAATACCAAAGGAATGCACGATTGGCCACCTATGGCAAAGTGTGTCCTTACCAATGACATTCAATTAGCTTTCCAAATGAATTCCCTTGGATGGCTGATAGAAAGCTGACTTTAGTGATGAACATTAGTGATGGCCCATATACTGTGGTTGCTAATACTAGTTGTAAGGTCTTTAAAGGCTTTTCATTTTCACAGGGAAAAAGTATGCTCTCATTCTAGCTATTTTTAATATTAGTCTTTAGTCACCAAACACCACGATTCATTAAAGACAGTTATAAACCCAATTTTAACCTAACTGTGTTGTTATTCTGACATTTATTTAAATCAGTTGCATCTTTGTTTGGAAGCAAACTCAAAAATATATACTGTTATGCTTCTTGATTTAAAAGGAAATCTAATAATTAGGCTTGTATTGACACAAATCAGAATGTTGGCAAAAATGGGTGGAAGCAATGACTCATTCTGTGTTTCAATTAACAGTTTCTCAGTTTTACCTGCAAACAGGGAAACTGATAAAAATAATTATCACAGAGGGAGAGAAAATTATTTCATTCTGAGGTTAAAAAAGCCAAAATCACAGTGTAAAACAATAGTGGTGTGTTCTAATCTCTTTGTCAATGAAATGAATGAGCTTATTCATCCCTTTTCAGGAAACTTCACTATTTTTTGTTTTTGTTTTAATTTAATTTAATGTGTATTTTAATTAATATCTCTGCTTGTTGAGAAGTTTGTTTACCTCTTCAGTTAGGACGGCAAAATTTTAAGTGGGAAAACTAAAGCTTTTGCATTTTTTGCAGAATGGCGAAGGGAAAACTAAAATCTGTAGCATTCATGAAGCTCTCTCAGCTGTTTTATCAGATGGTCAGGTGTTCGGAAATACAGCTCAGGTTATAAAGACGATAAAATATTATGTTCTCCAAAATCTTTTATCAATTATTTATTATTATTATTATTATTATTTATTCAATTGTTAATGCTGGGAAACTTTCTCTTGAGTATGACTCAAACTTCATCTGAAATATTGGCATACTGACTGGTCTCCAGAACATAAGAGTTAAACTGTGACATTTTCATATTCTGTTAAAACAAGAAATAATGATTTTGTCTTTTTCCCTCTGTATTCTTTGTCTCTCCCTGGGATGCATTTACTATGCATGAACTGAACAAGAGCAAATTGTCTCTTTTACACAAAGAATTAAGAACTTGCAGTGCTTCTACTTTCCAAACATATTATGTAATTTGAAATATTTTTTATCTAATAACTTCTTCTTCTTACTTCTACTTACAAATGTAGAATCTTTTTGGTACATAGCTGCACTCAAAAACAATACAGTGTAAAACTTCAGAGCTTACAAGTCCACGCAGTCCTACTTCTTGTTCAGCCAATCCGCTGAGACAAACAAGTTTGTTTACATTACAGGCGATAATGCTGACTGCTTCTTGTTTACAATATCACCTGAAAGTGAGAACAGGCATTTACATGGCACTTTTGTAGCTGGCATTGCAAGGTATTTATGTGCCAGATATGCTAAACATTCGTATGCCCCTTCATGCTTTGGCCACCATTCCTGAGGACATGCTGATGACACTCGTTAAAAAAAATGTGTTAATTAAATTTGTGATTGAACTCCTTGGGGGAGAATTGTATGTCCCCTGCTCTGTTTTACCAGCATTCTCCCATATATTTCATGTTATAGCAGTCAGATGATAACTCAGCACATGTTGTTCATTTTAAGAACACTTTCACTGCAGTTTTGACAAAACACAAAGAAGGTA